GATGGGGTTCAGCTGTCCTGCCTACGCCCCCTCCCAGCCTCTTGTGCACCCGCTTGCTGGCAGAGCATGGGAAACTGGAAATATCCTTAACTTAGGATAAGCGCTACTTAGCAACAACTAAAACATCAGTGTGTTATCAACATTATTCTCACACTAAATCCAAAACACACTGGACCAGCTACTAAGCAGAAAATTAACTCTATCCCAGCAAAAACCAGGACAAAGATTTCGTGTTCAAATTCAGCTCAAAGGCAGCATTTTGGAAATCTTTACAATTACAACGCAAAAGCTTGACTGAAGGATAACTTTCATACTGAAAAAAGTGACCACGCTATTAAAATTAGTATTATACTAAAAATTATTAGTATTATATTAAAAATGCCACCAATATTCCATGTACTTTCACACATAACTGTAGAAATGAACAAGCATTTACCTTCAGTTTTTGGCACAGGAGAGCTGTAGCATTGTATAAACGCACCAGAAGTAAAAGGAGGGAGACTGCCTTACTTCTCGACCATACTTACTGCACTTCCTTACAGAAATGTAGTAAGTTCACAGCAAGATAAAAAGGAGAAATTACTACATAATTTCATATCCTCTAGAGACACTGCTTTTCTCATCTAAAGTTAGCCAAAATCTAAAACAAGCTCCCAAACTGATGAAAAAGCTCACCTAGAAAATATCATCCTTTACAGAGAACCAGAAGAATCTGTACTCTTTCTTTTTTAAAAAATCAGCAGAAAGCTATACAATTTTCTTTAACTCTACAAAATAGCAACACAACAATATACTGAATGTACTTCCAATGCCAGTTAGATCTGTGGCAACTAGTCTACAAAAGCATAAAAAATACAGCCTTGAAGAAGTTATTCACAAGGTATAAACAACACAATTTGTATTACAAAATGACCTGCAGAAAGGAAGAAACGTAAATACCAAGGGTGTTTTTCTTGGGTATTAAACTGTTTCCCACTGCTGCACAAGAGACAAGGCTAAGCCTAAACCCAAGTCAGGAACTAGCACCCCTGCAGCACCAACCAGAGCTGTATCCAGCTCTTAGTCTTGCACAACCATGGAGTCGGACTCAATGATCCGTATGGGTCCCTTTCAAATTGAGATATACTATGATTCTATGAACCATACCTCAAGGTACATAAAGCTTGAGTCACCACATCCTATAGGAGAAAGGGAAAGCTGGATATACATCTTATTCTGCACACAAAAGTATCCTGAACTGGAAACTGGTCCCAATGTCTGATGAAATTCAATCACCTTGACCTATCTGAGTGCAATCTAAATAGCTTACAGAAAACTATTAGCTGTAAATAAGTATTCTCAATAACTGAACTAAAAAAAAAAAAAATATATATATAATGTAATGAAAATCAATGCAACTTCCAGGAAAATCTAAGAAAACAAGTAACATGCAGCACCTCTCAATTTATACACTATAAGTCCACAAATTGGGAAGAGAACAGGGAATAAAAAGAAATAATTATTGATTTACTACACAAGATAAAAAAGGAGAACTTCAACAACATGCTAAATCATGACAGTATATTCCAATTACTTCCAGAAATTTGACTACCTGGCTTCGGTGGTGCATGAACAATTTTAGCCGAACATGATGGCTCTCCAGGGACTGGTGTGTCTTTATCTGCACATATCTGAAGAGAACCCGATTCCACTTTCTGCACATTCACCTCTTCTTTTGTTTCTCCTGTGTCCTTATCTTCATTCTCCACCCTCTCTGTGTGATCCACGCTCAAAGGAGTCAGTTCGGACTGACTGACATGAGATTCACTTTTGTACGCAAAATCGCACGTGACTATATCCTCTATATGGGAATCCATAGGTTCTTCTGTAAATAATTAAAAACTGCATGACAATTTCTCTTGATATAACCACAGCTCACATTTTGCACAATTAACATTAATATTAAATTAACTCATTTGCAATTTTAGAACTGTTTTCCAACAGATAAAGTGACTGTTTGCAATAGTCTGAAAACAGAAAGCTTCCTTTATGTCCCTGAATTACTAGCACCAACTCATTTACTAGAACAGTTTTATTTTCTCCACTAAACTGGGCAGTCACCTAATCTCATGCCATAACTTCAAACAAACAACAACAAAAAAAAAATCCAAAAAACCTAACACACACATACACGAGGCAATTGATAATGATTCAGAACCAACACAGCAAGTTCCACCACAACTGAGGACAGCTGGTTTTGGTGTTGGATAAATGGGATGTGACTCTTCAATCACCTGGAAGAAAAACTCTCCTTTCCCTGCTTGCTCTTCCTTTTCTCTGCCACTCACTGTCCTCTTTAGTCCTCTCCAGATTATTACTTTTATGACAGAGGTAAAAAACAGGGTCTAATTCTCTATAGCACCCAGCTAGAAAGTAAGCACATGCCCAGAAATTAAAAAGAAAATAAGCTGGTCTATGCAAAAAGTAAGGAAACATCTTCTTCAATAGAGCAGGTCAGCTGCACAGTTTGGTCTCTGGGCTACATAGTGCTCGATTCGAAACACACTGTAAAGACACAACCTACCTAGGCCTTTATAAAGGGGTCAATATAAAAAAAAAAAAAAAATCAAAGTGTATCAGCCATTCAATCACTCAAGCAGGTACTCGATCTTCCTTTCAAACATCAGCATTGGTTTTCAAACAGTAAGAATTTCTTACCTTCACTCACTACTTTCGAAACATCTCCTTTGGAAATAAATTTCAACATTTTCTTCAGAACTTTCTTGTGAGATTTGGAGGTCTGAAAACACAAAGCCTGGCACCTTAAGAAGAAAAAGTTATGATCGTTTCTTTTGTGAAAGATTATTTCAGAAAAAAATGTTAAGGAATCACTTAAAGAATTACACTGTATATGTATTTTCTAATTATTTTTTAAGTTTCCCTATATTAAGTGGTCAAATATTTCATCAACACTTTTGAGTTAATAAAATTATGTTGCCTTGTACTGCATAATATCATTCTTTATGGCTTGTTTTTTGTGCATATCGCTACAATATACCAAGGGGACCTCAAGCACTGCGTAAAAAAAGCTTTCATAGGAGGCTAATACACTAGAATTTTTCACTTATCCATCTTATAGATACAGCGTTGATACTAATTACCAATGCTGGAAAAGCGTATCTAGAATTATTCATACCTATTCAACTGACAGCCTCTCTTATTTGGGCTACTGAAGCAGTGTTTGTGGGATACAGACATACCGGTTCACCAGCAAGAAACCAGTGAGCAACTCGGCAATCATAGCATTCTTGCTTTTGATCGCAACCCAGAAGCAAAAGGCACAGGTAGGCGCTTAGCGGATTGCTTACAGGAAAACATCACAGAGCCACTGATGTGCCTATGTGCAAACCCAATAGCATGTATTTAGTATTCGAAGTATCTCAAGTAATATGTATTTAAAGCAGTAAACACAAATGGTTGAACATATTTGAAATGGTCAAATCACTTACAGCACTATATTTTGAGTTTCTTACCTTATCGTGTATTGAGGACAACACGTTTGATTCATAATAGGTTTGTAGACATATTTTCCACTTCTAAAAATAACAATAAATACATATTGGCTTTTTGTTGTTCATACTACAAAATAAATGGAAGATGAACCTTTTTTGTTAAAACAATATTAAAATTTTACATGATGAGGAACAAAAGTCAAGCTAGTTCTTCAGCTTTTTGCTGCTATACTAAAATACTATCCTTCTAAAATAACTGAGTATTTTCATGTTTGACAGTGTCACGTTACAAAAAGTCACAGAGCATTGGACAAATAGTTCTATTTCTGTTACTTGTGGACACTAGTTAACTGTTTTCACAGACTTAAATTTTAAATCTGGATTCTAAACGGACAACATGGCTTTGTATTTTCTTTTTAAGTTTACCTTCGCCATCCTCTGTCTATGAGATCCTGGTAATCTTGAACTGTCATTGAATGTGCCCACATACCTGAAATAAATAATACAGTACCACACTTGACTGACCACAGTTACGCTCTAAAATACAACAAGTTCTACAAAAATATTACTGTAAAACTGAGTAGCTAATGGTGACTTCCAAATAGATTTCTTTCAAGGATTTGGCATATTCATCAACCTCATAAATTATCAATTTCAAAACTCACATTAAATGTAAAAACACCAAAACCAACAAAAATCTTGCGATGCAATCCACTATGTTGTTCTGACTGTACAAGTTACATCTCCACCTGCTATCTTTCCCAGAGATGCACCAACAAAATAACATAAATTTGCTCCTTAATTTTGTTAAAATCAGTCAGAAACACTGGGACAGAACTCTTCTGAGAGGCACTGAAGCTGACACAGACCATTCCCAGGGACCTCCCGGAGAGCAACTGCCCAGGCAGGTACCGAGCTGAGCAGAGCTCGGGGACCGTCACCTCTTCACCAGGTGAACCATATAATCCGCTTCCCCTTGAGCTGGCCTAAGCGAAACTTGTCTGGCCAAAGCTTTAGAGCCGTCCAGCCTCGCCAGGCAGACATGCCCTCATCTGTGGGTTAACCCGGACTGTCACTGGAGGTGGAGGGTCGGGCAGGGCAGTTGCACCTCAGAAGTAAAACTGTACCGAGAGAACACTTAGGGCGAGATCCTAACTACACCCTTTGTTAGGGTGCATATATTATGATAGTAATAATTAAAATATTTTCATCTTTTACAAAGCTTTCTCGTTTTTTGATGGTTTGCCCTTAGACTGGAGAAGCACTCCGATAAAACCAGACC